CTAATCCACATTGGCCATCTCTGCCATTGAAACAACAAAAGCAACCATCAGAGAAAAACACTGTTGCATGTAACTAATGCAAATGAACTCAACATTAATAAAATCAACAGGAGAACTACACACACACACACACACACACACACACACACACACACATTACATTTTAAGCTGGTAGCTGAAAATTTTAATTATATCAGCTGAAAATTGCCTGATGTGGATTTCTGATTAAAGATACAAATGTTTGGATACATGGCTTAATTACAAAGGACATCATACAGTTTTCTAGTACTAAAGTAAATATATGCATATGCATGTAGGTATATAATTTGAGGTTATACACACATTTTTATAATTTTACTTATTTGAATTTTATACATTTTATAGAATTTATAGAATTAAATGGTATGTATTTAAAGGAACTAAGTAGAAATAGAGCTTGGTGGAATATTTTTCCAGCAGATGCTTTTCAGTAAAAGATACATACAACCTTTATATAACCAGAGGAATACTTGGCTAAACATAATTTTCTGACTTACAAACATATATCATGTGGAATTTCAGCATGTAAAGAGGACTCTGGTAACAGCAGGACAATAAAAATCACATCACTGGCAATTTACAAGGTCTAGTTTTCCAGCAGTGGTTTTAAGAGCATGTGAGCCATATGCATTTGTTAGTTTTGTAGCCTCTTTATTGTTATTAGCTTAACCTAGTGTGGGAGAAAACATCAATAAACAGCATAGTGAAAACAGGTCATTTCTATAAGCCTAAACAAGAGTCACCACATTGTGGACACTCAAGGCTAGAGGATGTTTCAAGTGCTACAAGCTGTCAGCACCTCCCTGTCTCAGTTTACAAAGAAATAACTCACTTTTTCCTTTTTTTGTTTGTTTTATTCTAAATTTAAAAGATTTGGAAATCTTGTTCATTTTTGTTTCCCAAACAAGAATGTGGAAAGTAGCTGGAAACTTTAGGTCCTTACTATATATGTCCATGGTCAATATCACTCAATACTAAATCAAAACCAAGTGCATTTTAGGTAATAAATCAGGAAATGTGTGGCTGCAGTAATGTTTGCAGCTGTCATTCTTTGTCTGAATGGTGTTTCACAACAGGTTTAGCCGGGCCAACATTTCAATTTCATTTACTTTATGTGTATGAATGTTTTGCCTACATATATGAATGTACCACTCATGTGTGCTTGGTGCCTGCAGATGCCAGAGAACATTAGCATGGGACATGGCATGGAAAACTTAAAAAAAAAAAAAAAGCTGTCTTCTTAGAGAATCCTATCTTATAAATAACTGCTTTTGAGACGACTAACCACTCTTATGATGAGTTTCACTTTGGAAACGACCTCACTCAATACTATACAAGGCTCTTGTACAGAATTAGAAGTAGCCATTCACAAGAATATAGTCAGACCTATGTATCTACAATTCACATCCTTGGATTCAACCAAGGATCAAATCTATCCAGAAAAAAAAAGTTGCCTGGATGACATGGGTGTTGGGTAGGGAATTCTTATACACTATTGGTATGAGCGTAAACTTATGTAGCTATTTTGGACATTAGTCTGGAGGCCTCTCAAAAAATTAGAACTAGAACTACCTTATGACTCAACTATAGAACTCCTGAATATATAAGCCAAAGGACTTTAAAGTCTACTATTGAGATACTTGCACACTCATGTTCATTTCTACTCTATTCATAATATGTAGGAATAGAATAAACCTAGATGTCCATTCACTAATGAATGCATAAGGAAAATGTGGGATACATGTACACAACAGAATTTTATTCAGATGTTAAGAAAAATGAAATTGCAGGCAAATGGATCGAACTGAAAAAAATACTAAATGAAATAAACTAATTAAAAATATAATTTTTAATTAAGAAAAAGAAGAGTTCAAATAGAGGCGCCCTATAAAGGTTGACAATGCTTCTCCCACAAGACATGGGCTATTAAAAGAAAATTATTATTACTTGGTGTGTGATTCCTCCCTGAGTTATTGGTCATGGTGCCTCCAGAGACTCACAAAATAATTTAGGCTCTTGCCGCTGCTCTTGGTTGTCCCCCACTGTATGCTAAGCCCCTCTTGCTGAAGACACCATGCACTTTGGCTGGAGAACACAGAGAAACCAATCTTGAACTTACTGGGAAATGTCATCTCTGCTGGCTGGCTTTCATAGAGCCTGGAGGTGCTATGTAGGCTCTAGTGAGAGAAAGATGTCAATGGTCTTAGCACTGGACCTGCGTGTTACACAATATGGACCTCTCAGGCAAGATATTAACACTGACACAATGGTGACACATGGAGGTCACCAATATCTTTCTGAGTGTTGATTTTCGACATGTTCAGAGGAGTCTTCAAACCAATCCCCCATGGATGTCAAGGGACAAACAGACCTGTACTTCATAAATCAGAAATTCTTTGGACTAAAAACAGGGCATCTGTAAACTGGACTTTTGTGGAACCTCTTGGGCATTCTAGTGAGTAAATTAGGCTGAAGTCTTATTTTCTAGCTATGACAAAATAGCAGATTTCTGAACTTGGTTTCCATTGCCTGTAGAAGCAACACCTGGAAAGCAACACACAGCATGCTGTCCATCAGAGTCAATATTATCTTTTACCATAACCATGTGTCCTTGGTAGATATAAAATTCCTCACAACTTCTTGCATTATTTAGTCCAGAATTAGTGTATTGTGTCACTTAAAATCACCAAGTTTTAAACATGGGAAAGAAGAAACTATAATAGTTGAAGAAGAAGGTGTTTTGAAAGTAATTATATACTTATTCTTCCACAAGGAATTGATATTCAAGTGTAGCTGGTTGATTTTGTTCAGAAAAAAAAAACTGTGTTACAAGCAACCCAAGAACCCTACACTCTTGTCACACCAAATTGAGAACTGTCACAGACTTTTTTTTTATCTCATAGCCAAAGTCAATCACATGACCTTAATTATTCATCCTATGGAAAAATACATGTTTTATGAATCAGACATAGACATAATTCAAGTGGTTTTTTTTCAGTTTGCAATACTGAAAAAGGTCAAACATTTAATGTATAGTAAATAGTAATCAAAGCATAACTTGCTAAGCATAAAGGTGATTACATGAATATTAAGTCTGACTATATACTGTCAGGATTATGATTCTCATTAAAGCTACTGCCTTTTCTCTCTGATGCTTATTTCTTTCTACCGTATTTAAAGTAGTCTCCATAAATGTTCCCACCTTCTATGAAGGGACTGCTTGAATGCATCACTCAAGAAACATGAGGAAACAGAAGGAAAATCTTAGGAGCAAAATGCACTGAATGTGTGTTCTTTTTAAATGTTTGACTAGCATATATTAATTATACATAATAATGGATTTTATTATGGCATTGTGATGCATATACATAATGTATTTTCTTCATATGCAGTCTGTGAGAATCTGTTTATTACCACAAAATGCCAGCTATGTTCAGAGAAAAAAAATAACCAAGGCTTAAGGGTATTGGTGACTAAATTATAGAAAGCATATTATGCCTTGCTTAGTTTCACTTATTTCTACAGATAAAATCCTACTAATTAACCAAAAAAAAAATACATAGAAATAAGATCTAAAGACATGGCCTGATAATAACCATTATTCTAAAGCAAAAAATATTCAAGGGATTTCTAAAAGATCCACTTAAAATGGTTATAATTTTAATGGATTTTTCCCTCAAGTGAATGGTTATTCTCTCTCTCTCTCTCTCTCTCTCTCTCTCTCTCTCTCTCTCTCTCTCTCTCTCTC